AGTTGTTTGTACCATGGTTGCTATATGGTCACCTGTGCCATAGTTACGTGGTCGTTTGTACCAAAAAAATGACCGTTTGTGCCATAGTTACATGCTCATTTGTACCATAGTTACCTAGTTAATTTTAGTAAAAAAATGGCTGTTTGTGCCAAAAAAATGGTCGCTTGTGCCAAAAAAATGGTCACATGTGCCAAAAAAATGGCCATTTTGACCGCGTTACCGACAGACAGACGGACAGACACACAGACACAGGTGAATTTAGGTTTCTAGACCCTAGCCTTTCAGTCTAGGGAAAAAAAAAATATTTGACTTTATATAGGATTATAGTTGACTTTCGCTGGAGATGCGTCGTTCGACCACCATTTTGAGAAAAAACGGAAAAGATTTTTGAGTTTTCCAAAACCGCTGGTTTTTCGAATAGGGGTTGTCAAAAATCTTGAAAATTTTTTGGAAAAAATGAGATACCGAAGAAAAGTTTTTATAGTTTATGAAAGAGCAAATAACAGGCTATCTTCCAATATATTTATCTCAATTTCAATGATTCTGACGAAAAGTGACTTTCCTGAGAAGGGATCCCCTTAAAGATTAAAATAAAGAAAGAAACTGATACAAGAAAGAAAAAGCTTTCTATTATGTTTTTTTGAAACGAAAAAAAATCTAAACTTTTGTAATGAAGTCAAAGGTATTACTTTCAAAGAGTATTTATGAACTTCATCTTTATGAAACACAACTTACTGGTCTTCTCTTCCAAGTATGAAAAAAATTACTAGACTAAGCTTGATTAATAATAAACTTATACGCAAATCTTAAATGATCATGACTTTTGGGATACCCAGTACATACATAAACAATCGGCTTGTTGCCTGTTAACAGATAAAAGTATGAGTTTATCGAATGATCGACTTTCTCCAGTTATCCAAACAAGTCGCAAATCTGATAACAATCGTTTTAAATGTATTGTTCACATTGTGTTTTTCCTTGAAAATAAATTTAAACGAGCTTCTAAGCACATTCATGCACTTACATATTTCATAATAGTTCTAAGCAATTCTCTATATTTCCTCGTACTTCTTTGTACTTCTTCGTACTTCTTGGTACTTCTCTGTACTTCTTGGTACTTCTCGGTACTTCTCGGTACTTCTTGGTACTTTTCGGTACTTCTTGGTACTTCTTGGTACTTCTCGATACTTCTCGATACTTCTTGGTACTTCTTGGTACTTCTTGGTACTTCTGTACTTCTGAAGTACAGAAGTACGCTTGTTCCCCATTGGATCGGATTCTCCTTTCAAAAGTTATCGTCTAAACGGACGGACAGCCGGCCGGTCGGACACACTGGCCGATTCTAGAGTGTACTCACTTTTTGAGTACACAAAAACATTCTCAATTAGATTTAATCAAAAACTGGTATTATATGAAATTATTTTACACAAGCGAGCTTTGGAACACATGGTTAGAAACCAGAGCCTTGAATAGTAACTTACGACACCGTTGATTCACTCGAAACTGCTGATCAGGACATGTACAAATAACTGTTCCACTTAAGTTTTCATAACAATCATAACCATTGGCTGGTATAAAATGACCACTGAGCTCGCATATTGAACAGTCTTTTAACATGACATAGGGAGCTTATTTAAGATATCAGTACACATCTCACTCACCAAAAGCGATGGCGGTCGTAACAAGTGCGAAAAAAACGATGGCATAAATCAGAGTCATCACTCAATTGATGAAAAAACCTCTTACATACGAAATAAATAAGAATGAGTCGCAGCTGCAAAGTTTCTCAATTGTGCTTCTGCTCATTTCTAGCACAAAGATAAGCAAGTGTGGGTTGTGACTATGTGAGTGAATAGTCCCACCGTATGTGTGACAGGTTTTATCGATATTCTCCGAATTGCTATTAACCTAGCTCATCGTGTACAGCATATTTGATGTCGGGGACTTGACGCCAAAAGATCCGCTATTAGTTGGGTATGGATGTTGATGGGGTGTGGGTTGTGGGTGTGAGTGTGAATGAATAACAGATCTACACCCACACCCACCCCACACCCACACCCACACCCCACACCCCACACCCACCCACACCCACACCCCACACCCTCGGAACTTTTTCCGAACTGTCGTACCCCTATTAACAACATGATCTTTACTTGCATGTGATAATAAACGTGCTTCATTAACTCATTCAATAAAAGCTAAACCAGCATGTTTCTAAAACCAAAAACAAAATGTATGAAAAAGTTTTTAGATAACAAGATAAATTCTTATATTTGAATATTTATTATTTGAAGAGAATTTTGCCATTCTTGTGAACATAATAACATAACAAATTCAACAATAGATGCTGTTTGTTTAAGTGCATGTAAACCACTTGGTAATAATTCTTGTCCATGTAAACCAACTAATGTTTTTGTAAGAATATGTGAAAATTCTATAAATATATCATATAAAAATGGTGCAATATTTGATAATGCACGTTCTAATTTTTCAATTATATTCATTGATGATGATTATTCATTTGAATTAAAATTTGCTTTTGGATATTCAGGAAGTTTTGATTCAAGTAATTGACTTTTATTTATTGTTGATGATTCACTAGTAGGAATACTAGTAATACTTGCTATACACAAAAAAAAATTAAAAAAAAATATTCTAGAGTGTGATAGTTCGTCTCTCTATATGTCATATCAATTATTATTATTCGATATACCGTATGAAATATCAGTAGCACTTGTATTATTCATATCGATTGAATTTATTTTATTAATTTCATTATTATCATCAATAACTGCTGATTCACCATTATTCTTCTACAAGACAGAAGAAAAAAAGAAAAGATGAATTCACATTTTTTTTTAAATAAAATTCATACTTGATTATTTGTAATCGATGTCGAATCATTTATACTAGCTGGATCTACATTAATCTCACTAGTTGAACCTAACGATACGAAAAAAAAACAAAGAAGAAGAATTTCTCACAAAGAATAACAATCTAATCATTTACACCATGTCGAATACTAGGTGTTGTACTTATAATTGATGCTTCTCTAGAAAGATTTGTTTCAATTATATCTCGATATCTTGATACCATAAGTACTGATACAAAATAAACAATAGCTAATGCTAAAAATTGTGATTGTTTTGTATCATTGCTAAAACAAAAACAAACATAAAATTTTCATATCATTCAATAATAAATTTTTTCTTAACATAAAAGAACAAACATATAAAGCAAAACAATAATAATATAAAGAAAAAGGATATTTGATTTATCACGACAACGACAACGTTTTTTGTTCGGTTTCCTTCGATCTGGTCTTACCACATCACGATAGATAATAGCACGTAAACGTTGAACATCAAGTTCTTGTAAAACTGATTCAGGATTTTTAATAAATGAATTAATTAATGTTGATATATCATCATTTTCATTATCATTTATTATTCATTAAATAAGTTAATTCAAGTATACTTTCAAGTGGATCTTTATTTGATGTTTCTTTTTGTGTTAATGTTGAATTTGATAATTTTGATGAATCAAATTTTTGAAAACGACATTCCATACAATGACGTACAGCAGTTGTCATTGCTTAAAACAAAAAAAAAGGAAATATTCAAATATTTTTTTTTAAAATAAAAACAAGAAAGAATTTCACATACATAAACGAAGACATTGTCGTAATATTTCACCATTTGGCATACTTTTTTCTTGTTCAAGTTCAGAAAAATTTCCCGTATTTGCAAGTATAAATAAATCTGATAAACTCATAACACGTTTTTTAATTTTTGATGCATCTTTAGGTGATAAACCTTCCGTATTTTCTAATAATTCAATTTCATGCTAAATAAGACAATACAAAAACAAAAAATTTACAAAAACAAATATCATATTAATACATACAGATGCTGATGTTGCACTTGCAAGTAAAAAGTAAAAGACCACCACATGCATTACATAAGACATCGGCCATTGGAGATATTATATGTATAACATTAGCACAAAATATTTGATTATCTGGATTATTTATTGCTTCAGTTATTGATTTAGTTGAATCACTAGAACTAGAAAAATATTGGATGATATTAAAAGCTTAAGACCTTCTCTCAAAAAATTGATCTCAGGTTAGTATTCTTTTTTTTAAACTCTTACTTTTTAAGAGAGAAACCAGAGATCGAAAGTTTAATGGTTCCAAAATTGCATATGAGAGAGCAGATGATGGGCTATTCCTCCATGAATTTATCTCAATGTGGATGCTTCTAGCGAAAAGTGACTTTTTTTCAGGCGGAGCCTTAAATTTCAAATACTTACGATCTCCATAAACGAATATCAACTTCGATTGAATCAAAAACACTATGTAATAGACGAATATGCATTGGAGAATATTTAAATTCAGATATTGTAAATGGTGGTAATTGATTTGTCTTAAATACTTGACGACTAGATGTTGATTCTAAAAAATAATAAATATCATTTTTTGTTTAAAATCTTTCTTGTCATATCAATAAGTTCGATTATTTGAATTCATGCATTTCCAATTAAAACTAGAGTTTTCTATATATTTTTCAAAGAACGATCATAATTAGAGATGTAAGTCGATGGGTCAAACATGGCGACGACGATTTTGACAACCAAAAATTAAAAAAAGTGGTCGTCAGCTGTACGGCTTGCACATCTAACTGTAATTTATACATATGAATTGTATTCTTTAGAATAGATTATGCTTAATATTCTAATCGATTGATTAAATAATATAATAACCACTAAAGCAAAATTACAATTTAACTTACTTGTAGGTGTTGAAACACTTTGTTCATCGATTGGAATATGTGAATCACTAAGTTTTCTTGGAGTAACTGGTGTTTTAGGCTACACATTTCATAATCGATTTCTTTATATATAGAAAAACAAAAAAAAAACATGTACTTCATTTTCATCATCATCTTTCATACTTTCAACAATTTTATTAACTTTTCGATAATAATCTTCTTTAGTTATCTAAAAAATAAAAATAAAAATAATAATATAAATAAATTTTTCAATTTACTCGTTCATATAATATTGAAAGTGTATCAATCCATACATGCCATCCACCATATTCAT